TTATTTTCCCTAATTTGATTTAGACAATGGAACTTTATCATCATGTTGGACAAGTTTGCATGGTAATTTGTTGTAGGATAAAAGCATATTTACAAGTGAAAAATAAAAAATAGAAAAATCATAGTAAATAAGTTAAATTGTGCAATTTGAAGAATCAAGTGACTAGAAATAAACCAACAAAAATGGTAGTCACAAAAGAATGGCTAAAAAAGATAGCAAAAAATGACGACTAGCTGGCATAAACGCTGGTGGACATTTGGAATTTTATTTTTCAAGAAGTTTTGGCGTAACGTTGGCAGGTGGAGAAACAGGAGTGGAATCATCATTGAAAAGTGGATTTTTTACTTCCATTTCACCTGTCTGTAAAGCAGTACATAATATTTATTAAAATTGAAATATAACTAAAGAAATCACTCCAAAACCAAACCTACCGGTGCTAATCCTGGACATTCGTACACTGTGAAATCTCCTTCCTCATTCTCTTCTTCCGAATCCACGTCAGATGTGGAAGCATGATGAGTCGAGCTGGCTCTAAAAACATTCCAAAATAAATAAGCATCTAACTTTTATTAGCAATTTTCTTTTAAATTTAATTACTTACTTCTCTACAGCTATCATTTGTTGTTTTTGATGCTGATAATGATACATCTGTGCACTCTGTGCCAGTTTACGGTCTCCGTTTGGAGATGTTGTCTCTTTACTGGGGCCTGTTATCCCGTACGCAGGATAATCTACATCTGCAGCAGCTTTACTACTCTTTTGCAGTCTGAAATAAATATAATTTATAGTTACAAAATTACAAATTCCTATTCTAACAACTTATGATTTACAGTAATTAAAGTTATGCTGTTTACTTGTATGGAAATAAGGAATAATGCATTCATTATGATAAAACTAAGTCTAGTTCATTTTTCTCTAACTAAAACTGTCTCATTTAAGCTATGTGTTTTTGGAGAATAATTGTTTAAATATATACTTTTTAATCATACTTATGATACTATGATTCATTACTAATTTTAATTACCTACACCTCAAAGAATTTATGATTTATCAGTATAATTGAGAAAATTATGAGTTTAACCTATAATACTATCATCATATAATGAAGCCATTAAACTGTGGAGTAAAGTTGTTTCTAACATGGTGGAGAATGTTTAAACAAATGCATCATGGACATCCCTGGATATAATATTGAACACCATTTAGAAGTGTTGTTTAATAAGGTATAGCTATATGATCAGAGCAGTTAACTAGATGATTGATTAAGACATTTGAAAAGTTTTTGAAATTTCGAGATCTTTCTGCAAGATTTTTACAAAAAACTTGGTCAGTAATTCCTTCACCAGTAGAAAATGTGAAGGTGCACTGTCAAGTTCTTCCTAATGTATTATTTGTGTAATAGTGTGGCTTGGGTCTATGCAACAGAGAATGTATTCTGAGAAAACTGCAAGTGAAGATCTTGTATGAGAATTACTATAGTTTGTAATAAATGTAGGAAATAATGATATAAATTGCCTGTCAAAATCATCTGTAACTACAACAGCAGAATGGGGAAGAAATTTGGACAATCCTAAAAAAAATGGGACAGCAGACTGCTGTGGAAAGCAAAGGTGATGATCAGACAAAATGGTAGGTTTAACAACTTTAGGTTTTCAAAGAAAAATAATTTTCTCTGGATGGTCTAGACCAGTGATCTCCAAAGTGGGGTATGCCAAGTATCGCTTTGTGTACCAAAATGTAAATTTGTAATTTAATTTAAATGCATGTATATTGTTTAAACTAAATAAATAATTTGATTTTTGACTACACATACACACACACAAAATATATATATATATTATAGGGCANTAATTTAAATGCATGTATATTGTTTAAACTAAATAAATAATTTGATTTTTGACTACACATACACACACACAAAATATATATATATATTATAGGGCATACAACTTATAGTTATTTTCGTCTTAGGTGTACACAATAAAAAAAGTTTAAATACCATATTTACTCATTTATAAGATGAGGTTTTTATTCATTTATCACAACTTCAAATTCCTAGGTCATCCTATATGCATGAGCAAAAGATTCTTTGAGTTTTTGAAAATAATTTTTGTGAATCTTGTGTTCACATTTTTACTGGATGCTTACTCTCTTGTATTTAAAAACATGAGTACTTTATCTAGGTCATTTGAATCATTCTTGTATATTGTCAGGAGTAAAGATGAATAGCAATAGGAAAAGCAAAGCTTTTCAATTGAATTCCAGATTGAAATTCAAAATCACACGGGAGCACAATATAAGTTTTAATCCATTCCCAAGTGAAAACGTGATTATTCAGAATTCAGAGAAACTCATAAATGTAATTGACGGAGAGTGGATTAGACTGTTAAGAATTGGCAAAAGAAAAGGGTTCCCAATTGTCCAGCATTATGTGAACAAATTATGTTGTGAGTTTTACAAGATTTTTCCTTAAAGGTTTTAAAATGCTAGTAATTTTTGTGGGACAATGTGTGCATTTACATTCATTCGATATTTTACTTGTGATTTATTAATACAATTCTAATTTTATTTTGTTTAATCTAATTTTTCTTTATTTTGATCTTTAAGTCACACTTGTCCTATATGCAAGGTTGTCTTATATTCAATAAATACAGTAATTACTTAATAAATGATAGTGTATATATGTTCTTAGGCTTTTATATGCACTGGCAAGTGAAAAAAGGGTATGATTTCCTTTATGGTAATGGTCTGAAACCTAATTTACTATATTAGCAAGGTATGCCTATAAATGAAAAATTACTGTACTACTCTAAATATTAAAGCTAATTAACTTCATAGCTCTGTAAACACTTTTAGGCTTTTGTCCTTATATATTTTCTATGTAACTTTAGATAACACTTCGGCAATAATATTTAACATTTTCAGATTCTGTCAAAGTCAGTTAATAGAGTTTTAGAGTGCTGACATATTATTATTTAGAAATAAAAACAATTACCAAAGTTTTTTAAAACATAAATTATAAGAAATGTAATCATTAAATATAGCTATGTAAAAGATACAGATTTGCATATAAGCTTTTTTTAATTCTTGTTTGTATTTGTTTTGGATTAATAAGGCTTTATCAGACAAATTTGATTAGTAGGTTGTCAGATTATAATTGACTAATCCATTAGAATAGCATCAAATTATCAGAGAGGACATTTACAACTATCTGTAACCAAATATATAATAAATATTCGTGCATTGTTGATTTTTAAAATTTATTCAGTTTAGTAAGATTCAGAATATGTTACAAATTCTGCTTATTTTGAAATCCTCTGTGTCAGTAGACATCAAGAAGAATCAAAAATCAGGTAAAAGTATAGAAGTTTTAACAATACAAAAAATAGTAAGTTTATAAGTTTCCTGCAATTATCAAAAAATTTGAAACTTCTTTGAATTGTCGTCTTTTGATTCCTTGACTTAATTTATATTTAGCTCCTTAGCTACAGATATTGAATGAATGTTTTCCATCCTTATTAACTGAACAAATTTATTAAAATTGCCAAACTTATATATTACATAAGCAATAATGATACTTAAAGACTATATCCTTCCATACTGTTGCTAATACTATATAATGACATAAAAATAAACATGAAAAAAGTAATTCGTAAACTTTGTGACAGTAAAACTTTTAATAATACATTTAATAAATAGATATTAATTCCAGGTCTTTATATCTATATCTGGATGAAAAATCATAAAAGTACTCCTTACCCAAAGAAGGAATGTAAGTAATAATATAGCAACTTCAAGAGTTATCTATGATTTATCTAATACTGCAATTCCCAACTTATTTTAATCAAGGAACATTTTGACCTTGATAAAAAATTTACAAAGGATTGAATATATGATTTGATTCTTTTATCACTAGACTTGGTGTTTATGTTTCATAAGTGTGAGCCATGTAGTCTATGAATAGGTCTCCCTTTCTATGAGTATTAATAATTTTTGAAACTTTAAAATATGTTTGAGAAATTTATTTAACTATTAGTTTAGAATTCATATGCTAATTATGTNGAACGAAAAGTAACATGGCAAAGGAAGGGTAATGGAAAAAGAAAACCTTTAAACTAGACGGGAGACAGCGAGAGGAGGATCCTGTCTCCAATATGGATCCAAATGCCTCCACCGTAGGACTAATCGTTAGTGAAGCCTCCAAGTTGCCTGAGGTAAACGTTTTTATTAATGGAGTACTTTACAATTATATTGCAGAAGCTGAGGGTTCCAAGGAACACGAGTTGGGAACCACTGATCTAACAAATCAATCTAGACAACCAGATGGTCAAGGCACTTCAGGTGTAAGCCTGGATCTGGGGAACCTCGGATCAAATCTGGATGGTCAAAAAAACCCCAAGAATTTTTCATGGATGGTCCATCCTGGATATATTGATCTTCATTTCTCACTGTCTAGCTACTCCCATTGTAGCCTGGCCAAATCCATGATGGATATAGGAAAAAACATTCTTAGTGTCCTCAGAGCAGAAATATACTGGTATATATATTTTTTAAATTATATATATATATATAAAGTTACATACAGTATCTAGTTTAATTTGGCTGAATTTACTGAATTTATTAAACAATTATTGAGTGCTTTCATACTTTCTTTTAGATTATAATAATAATTTAAAACTGATATGTAAATGCTACAAAAAAATCTAAAATATTTACTATAACTCAATCATTAATTTCTATTGAACTTTACTATTTTAAAGTAGATATAGAGCTATTGTAATTTTTTAAGCAATAATTCATATTTATGACTGTTACATTTGTTTAAAAAACTAAATACTTATATCATGTTTTAAAGGTATAAAAATATTTAATGTTTAACTATTAGAATTGTGGTCACAAAAATATGTATTAATAATTACTCCTTAATTATATTGTATTGCTTCTAGTTTAAGATGCACCATAATTTTTATAAAATAATTTTTAGGAGTAAAACTGTTAATTATAATCTATTTAAAATAAAGGAAATAAAATAAACAGGTAATATTATAGCTAATTATAAAACTATTATTATATAGACTTTTGCAGAGTGACAAAGATTGCCTCAATTTTAAGTTCAGAAATTTTTCCCTACAACTTTGAAGTTCATAGTAATACAGCATGTTAAGTTTTTAAATATTTGTTAACATACAAAACATTTTTAGGACTTCCCCATGTAAGATCATCTATGCTTTCAAATCCAACAAGAATGATTCAATGGAAAAGTTGATTTAAATGCTCAAACAAACTTTTCCCTTGTTCTTGTTTGATAAAAAAAAGCACAGAGGATCTTACATGGGGACAAAAAAATCTAAAAAAATGTTTTATCCTTTAATAAATGTTGACTCCTATACTATATATAACATTTCTGCAATTTCTTCAATTCTCCACACAGTAAGTAATCTTGAAGCTTGTTTAAATATTTGTATTCATGATAATGCTCTAAATATAAACTTTACTCATTAAGGATTATCAACACTTATCATCATGTCCTATTTTATTGAAATAATAATTTTACTATTTTTTAAAAATTAAATCTCAATTTTCATTAATTTTATGATAATTCAGACTAAAAAGAATACATATTATATATATGCAAATGATAATTTTATTACATTAATTTGAACAAAGATTATTTTTATTAGTTCAGATTTATGTAATAAAATTATCACTTTCATACATAATATAATATGTATTTTTAATATATATACTTGTAACATAAAAAATAAT